ATTAACTTCTTTCTGCTAATTTCAGCTTCTTATGCTCCTTTCAGCTTTTTCAGCTAGTGTCAGCTTTTTCTGCTAATTCAGCTACTATTTAGCAGTTTTTATGCAAATAGCATTTTTCAGCTAATTCCACATTTTTTAGCTCATATTTTTTTGCTAATTTTAGCTTTATTAGCTGATTTTCTATTTTTTTGTGCTTATTTCTGCTTATTGTAACCAAATTCAGCAAAATTCTTTCTGCTTTCTTCTGCTAATTTATGCTTGTTCTTTCATTTCAGCTACATTTCAGATTTTTTTTAGTTAATTTCAGCTGTTTTTCAGCAAGTTCTTCTGCCATAGACATTCACAATGCATTTTTGCAGAAAATGCAGTTTCTCTAGTTATTCTTGATGCATTAAGTAAATTGAACAAGACTAGACATGATTATCAGTTTAAACTCCAAACTCTCACGTTGCACTGGATGAAAAGGCTCAAACACGATCAATTAAACACATAACAGCTTAAAGAACGAGGATTTCAGGTGCGAGGAAACGCAGCTCTGAAGGTCAAACCTGAGGAGACGACAAATGAGCTGCTGGGAGAAAAGACGCTTCAGTATTTTTAAGGACGAAGGCAGAGCTGCATGTGAGCGGGGATCGTATTTTACATTGAATGAATGTGAGATCAGACCATTTGTGGCATTTCCTGTTTTATTAATCAGTCAGCTCAAAGACACAGTGGATAGTTTTATCTTCACTGTGAATGATTTAATATAAAAAGGTGTTTTATTCAACTGTTGATATTTTATTAAATGTCTGAGCTGTGGTGGATTCATGCTGGGATGACTAAAGTAGAAAATAAAACCTGAAACATCACTTCTAAATGATTTTTATATTCTTTATTCTTCAGGTCAAACCGCAAGTTCAAAACTAATAATTCAACGACTAATTGTGTTAAGTTGTTTTTATTTTTCTTTAATTTTTTTTGCACTTAGTTTCTGTAGACTTTGTGTTATTTTAGCCATTCGTATATCAAATGTTTCTGTAGATATGTTGTTTATTCATTTTATATAGTTTTGTTTCATAACATAAAAATATAGTTATTCTGTTGTTAGAAAAAAATGATTTTTTTTGGAGAACAGATTTTTCTATAAGATTTTGGTATTATTTAACACACACACACACACACACACACACACACACACACACCTGTAAAACTAAACTGAAAAACAGTTATATTTCTTTTTTTTTAGCAGTTACAATGTCTTAAAAAAGGCGAAAAGTGTCTTAAGAAATAAAATATTCCATAAAGTTTAAATTCAAACATATAATTTTTGTTGATAAAACATTCTTGTGTACATCTGTGTAAATATGATACATAAACAAAACATAAAACTTAACCCAACATTTTTCAGTCAGGTCATCTGGACAGTTTCTTTTTTTGTGCTGAAACGTTTCGCCTTCGATCCAGAAGGCTTCATCAGTCAAGGAAACGCACAACACAAAACTGATTCTTCCCCCATCAGCTTACTCCAAAGTGGAACAAACCAGTTATGTTGGTGCTAAGATGGTCTCTTTGTCATGCCCCCTCCTCCATTGCCGGCACTCTTCCTTGTTGACAGTCGTGTCAAACTGGTTGAAAACAACAAAGTCCATGCTCAATAATCCAGGTATACTATCCAACAGACTGAAAAATGTTGGATTGTATACCTGGATTATTGAGCATGGACTTTGTTATAAAACTTAACATTAATTTATCAAATCTGCTGGAGTTACTTTTATAGCCTGTAGGGGGCGACATTTACAAATCTACATTATTCAACCAACAGAGTAAACACTACGTTTCTATTATATTATTAGTAGTAGTAGTAGTATTGTTCTTATTGTTATTATTATTGTTGTTAAATATTTTAAGTTAAATCTTGTTGACGAGGCTCCACATCTTTCAGCCAATCAGAGGGGAGATTCAGCCAAAGCCGGAAGTCGTCATCGCTAGCGGAGACATATTCCCGCGAAGATTGATCACGCCTTAGCGTGAGCCCCTCTGGTAAGTTAAGTTTTTATATCTGTACATGGAGTTTGCTGATAGTTTTGTGAACAAACAACATAAATGATCTCAATCGACTCTGAATCACAACTCGCCTCGCTGATTTACAGCGGATCTGAGCTGCGGGCACGCGCACAGAGAAAGGTCGCCAAACTCCGTGTTTTAAATAAAACAAATAAGTGAACCCATCCTGGCTGGCTGTCTTTAGGCACTTCTCAGTTCAACTTGTGTTAATTCTCAACATCATGATCTGCTTTATAATTCGGCATAGAAATTACCCAATAAAAGCTTTAATTTCTTTAATGCAAACACAAAAATATAGTAATTATTGCACAAGGTGTTTTCTAATGAATGTCTAGTTAACCTTTTATAATTCCATAATATAGAGCCAAACGTCGTAGATAGAAATAATGGAATTGTGATATTTTAAATGACTTGTTGGATTAATATTGTTTTATTAAACACATCTGACCATATGGTCTCAATCTGAGAACATGCTGCCATGAGTGACTCATAACTACAGATCAGAGATTAATTAAAACTTTTATTATGTCAAAGATTATTAAACAAAAAGGTCTGAAAATGGAAGTTTAGGCTTTTTTCATCCACCTGCAAATTTTAGTCCGTCCATCCATCCATCATCCACCCATCTATCATGCATCCATCCATCTATCATTCATCCATCTATCTGTCATCCATCTATCATCATCCATCTGTCATCCATCCACCCATGTAGTTATCATCCATCCATCCACCTGTCCATCCATCATCATCCATCCATTCATCCATCTATCTATCATCCATCTATGCATCATTCATACATCTGTCATCCATCCATCTATTTATCATCCATCTGTCCATCATCTATTCATCCATCCATCCATAATCCATCCATCTATTGGTATTATAATCCATCCGTCTGTCCATCCATTCACCCATCCATCCATCATCCACCCATCCATCCAATATCTATCCATCCATCCATAATGCATCCATCCATCATCCATCCATCCATCCGTAATGTATCCTTTTCTTCCATTTTTTTTCCTATTGATATGCTTTCATTTATGATTGTCTAGTGTTGTCATGACTCTTTGTTAAAATCAGGTCTCTCTTGTAAATGAGTCCTCGAGGCTCAATGAGGCTAACCTGTATAAATAAAGGTGGAATGAATATGATTGAAAAATTAAAGGTACTCACTGGTAAAAAATCAAAAATCAAAAAGTGAGAAACAAAATCTGCACACAGTGTTTGTTTAACTACGAAAACGTTCGAAGTGACTGCAAATAGGTAAAAAATGTCGACATGCACCGAAAAGCCATTTGGGATGGAGAAGTTCAACAGTTTTTAATGTAATGATGCGTAGTCAGATTTGTTGCGTGAAATGTGTAGATAAGTGTTTTGTTTACATTGAATGCGTACCCACATTTCAGAATTGTACATAGGAAAACTACTGTTGAAAACTCTTCCAAACTTCACCGTTTGATAAAGTTCAGGATAACCTTTTCTTTAAAGTATATTTCTAACAATGCTGCTGCAAAATTGTTGGAATGTTGTTTAAGTGTGTTGAGTGTACAAAAGTTCTGCCGTAACATATTTTTAACATGTTTTACAGTCCTGTCATATAATGAGTAAGAGAAAAGTCAAAAATGTGCATCTGCCCATAGGAGAGTGCATCGCTCAGGTTTGTTTACATCCATTTATGCTAAATCTTTTCTGTTTATGGTGTAAATAGTTAGATGTATTGTTGCCTTTTTTGTTTCCAGGTTCAGCAGATTTTAAGGGAGCGTTTCTGTCAACGGCAGCTCCCTGAGCGACCCGAGGGAGTGGAAGCACAACACAAGTTGGTGCATTTTGTGTCTCTCTGAGAAGAAATGCACATTTACTATAAAAATACCTGAAAGTAGAAAAATGACATTTCCTGCAAAAAGGCAGTGTGAGTGCTGAAGAACTTGCTGGAAAAACAGCTGAAATTAGCTAAAAACATGCTGAAATTTAGCTGAAATAAAGAAAAAGCCTAAATTAGCAGAAGAAAGCAGAAAGAACACACATTTGCTGAATTGTGCTTAAATAAGCAGAAATGAGCACAAAAATTAGGACATTAGCTTAAAAAAGCTGAAAATTGCTGAAAAGGCAGAAATTAACATAGAAGGAACCAGAAGGAAGTGGAAAGAACTGAAATGAGCTAAAAAAAATGTGGAATTAGCTGAAAAGGCTTAATTTAGCATAAAAAAAAGCTAAATAGTAGCTGAAATTACAGAAAAAGCTTAAACTAGCAGAAATTATATAAAAGGAGCATAACAAGCTGAAATTAGCAGTAAGAAGTTAATTAGGCTGACAGAAGCAGAAATTACCACGGAAAACTTGAATTTATCTGAGAACAGCTGAAATCAGCTAAAAAGTGCTTAAATTGTAGCTGAAGAGGTAGAAAAAGCTTAAATTAGCAGAATAAGGCAGAAAGAACACATGTTTACCCAGTTTGGCTGAAAGAAGCAGAAAAGAACATAAAGGTGGAAATTATCTGAAAAAAGTGAATTGAGCAACAAAAAATAAAGAGCTGAAAAGTAGCTAAAAGTCACAAAGAAGCTGAAATTACAAGAAGAAAGTGGAGAGCACATTTTTGCAGAAGTAGGCTGAAAAAAGTTGAAATGAATGCAAAAACTGGAATTAGCTGAACAAGCTTAAACTAGCATAATACAGTTATATAGTAGCTGAAATAGTAGAAAAGCTGAAACTTGCAAAAATAAGCTAAAAGGAGCATAAAACGCTGAAATTAGCAAAGTAGTTAGAAGAAGCACAAAAATGTTGTAGTCGTAGGAAAGAACCTGAAAGGAGCACAAAACAGCTGAAAGTAGCTGAAAAAATGTTTAAATTTGCACATGGAAGCTGAAAGAAGCTGAAGCAGAGCAAAATGTGAAAGGAGCAGTAAAACGTTGTAAACACGTCTAAAGTTTTGAAGGAGGTAAAATGAGCTCAATTCATTTTCTATGAAGGAAAAAGTGGCAGAAAAGGTTAAATATTTCAAACAGCTAAAGTTGCACCAATACCAAAAGTCATAGCACCCTTCTCCTGAATGAGCTGAATGTTTTGATTTATTATTTGTTGAAATAGCACAAAAATTGTAGAAAGAGAAAGATGCTGAAAAATGCATTGAAGAAAAATGGATCACACTAGTGTGAATGCTTCATAAACATCTATTCATAAACACTATTACTGATCTTATAGTAAAAATGAACATTTATGGAATTATAGCTTTGTTTTCAGTAAAAATTCCTAAAAATATCAAAGAGTTACTTTTAAATAGCAGCCAAAACTCCCTCAATGACCTCAGACCCAGTTCAGTTGAGCCAGGCTGACAGGAATGTCCCAGATTGCAGCTGGTTTGGACTCAACTCCAGAAGCTCTCTGGAGCAGGAAGTGAAATCCACCTTGCAGACTTCTTATTCGACGAGACGTTTTTCCTGCAGGGAGTGTTCTGAACAGAGACCTTGTACCTGCAGGCACCTCGAGGAGCTGCTGAAACGGACCGCCATCCACGGGGAGAGCAACTCCGTGCTAATCGTGGGCCCCAGAGGAGCGGGGAAAACCACGGTGAGCCTCCAGTTAAAAACGTGATGCACTGAGGCTTTGAATCCCAAGAGCTTTGTCACATCTGCCGGTGTGTGTGTGTGTGTGTGTTTGTTTGCAGCTGCTGAGGTGTGTGCTGAGGGAGCTGTCGAAGGAACAGGAAGTGCAGAAAAACCTCCTGCTGGTTCATCTCAACGGTAATCTACAAACGCTCCGGAATTTGTTTGCGTTTTTAACTTCAGTCTGGACGTCTTACATCTTTTCACCTGTTTAAATATAAATAATGAATCTTCTTCATACATCAAATTTAGTCATGGAGTTCCGCAGGGTTCAATGCTTAGTCCAGTACTCTTTACCTTGTATATGCTTCCATTAGGTAATGTTATTAAACAGCATGGGATACATTTTCATTGTTATGCTGATGATATACAATTATATTTGTCCATGAAACCCAATGAATCCAATCAGGTACTTAGACTATAAGCATGTCTTAAAGACATAAAAACCTGGATGACACTACATTTTACACTTTTGAACACAGACAAGACTTTAGTTTTTGAACCTGAGCATCTTAGGAATACATTTTTCAGTCTTTTGCCCTCCTTGGATGGCATTAATCTGGCCCCTAGCTCTAATGTCTTGGTGTTATTTTTGATCAGGACATGTCTTTTATCCCCCACATTAAAAACGTTACTAGAGCCGCCTTCTTCCACCTGCGTAATATCACTAACATTAGAAACATCTTATCTAAAAATGATGCAGAAAAAACTGGTTCATGCATTTGTCACATCTAGACTGGACTATTGCAATGGTTTATTATCTGGGTGTCCAAAATCTTCTTTAAAACGTCTTCAGTTGATCCAAAATGCTGCTGCCAGAGTCTTAACTGGAGTTGATGGGAGAGCTCATATCTCTCCAGTTTTAGCTTCTCTCCATTGGCTCCCTGTCAAGTCCAGAATAGAATTCAAAAATTTACTTATAACATACAAAGCCCTCAACAACCTAGCTCCATCTTATATTGTAAATCTTATTGTTCCATACTTTCCTAACAGAGCACTTTGCTCTCAGACTGCAGGTTTACTTGCGGTTCCTAGAGTTTCCAAAAGCCGAACGGGAGGCAGATCTTTCAGTTATCAGGCTCCTCTCTTGAGGAACCAACTTCCAGTTTCTGTCCGTGAGGCTGACACATTGTCCAGTTTTAAGACTGGGCCTCTCGTTTCTGATAAATCCTATAGTTAGTGTTGGCTTATTATGCTGCTATAGGCTTAGACAACTAGAGGATAAATTGACCTCATTTCTTTAAATGAATTGTTACAGTTGAATAGTTTTCATTTAATATAATTTCTAAACATGTTATTCTTGACCTGCCATTGTGTATCTGTTCCTCCTTCCTGTTCCTCTCAAACCCAGCCGGTCGAAGCAGATGGACGCTTGTCCTGAGTCTGGTTCTGCTACAGGTTTCTTCCTCATGAGGGAGTTTTTCCTTTCCACTGTCTCCTTCATGCTTGCTCAAGATGAGAGTTCTGTGATGAAGTTAAATTCAAAGCGGTCTGCTCCTCAGATAAATAACGTTAAATTATTATTTTTATATATAAATGTTTGATGCCCTGAGAGGACTTCAGTTGTGACTTGATGCTGTATAAATAAACTGAACTGAATTGTTTACCGCAGGCCTGCTGCAGACAGACGACAGAATCGCCCTGAAGGAAATAACCAGACAGCTCCACTTGGAAAACGTCGTTGGCGACAAAGTGTTTGTAGGTCCTCGCGACGAGATTACGCAACGGGTTTGAAAACTGTTGCGAAAACATCTCGTCTTTGTTTCGTTTCAGGGAAGCTTTGCGGAAAATTTAGCTTTCCTTCTGGATGCGTTAAAAAAAGGTATTTTTTTAATTTTGGGACTTTTGACCTTAAAATCCAGCACTTTAAGAAAAGGCGGGATTTATTAAATGCTCCCTTTCTTGTCCCGCCCAGGCGATCGCAGCAGCAGCCGCCCGGTGCTGTTCGTCCTGGATGAGTTCGACCTCTTCGCCCACCATAAGAACCAGACGCTGCTCTACAATCTGTTGGACGTCTCCCAGTCTGCCCAGGCGCCCGTCGCTGTGGTCGGCATCACTTGCAGACTGGTAAGCCTAAAAAGGGCACATCGCCCGCCTCCTTTCCTACTGAAGTTTTAGATCATCTTATGGTGACACATTTTAGCTCAACCATGAATTATGTACAATGTCTGCAGAGTATATGTTGTGGGCGACTCTCAGCTACTACCACACCAAGTTTTAGCGCAATATCTGTGAAATTTACCGAGCTGCTGCCAACTGATTAGCTAATGTTGTTTAGCTGTGGCAGCCATCTTGAAATGAACTGAGTCCAACACTTAATCAGCTGAAGGTGTGCACACAGTGCTTATTGTGTGCACGCTTGTGAAGCATTCACTCTACTGTGATCTATTTTTCAGCTTCTTTCAGCTTCCTTGTACAAATTTAAACTTTTTTCAGCTAATTTCAGCAATTTTTTTTCAGCAATTTTTTTTTGCTCCTTTCAGTTTTTCTGCTAACTACAACATTTTTGTGCTTCTTGTAACTTCTTGCTAATTTCAGCTTTATATGCTCCTTTCAGCTGATTTATGCAAGTTTCAGCTTTCTCTACTCTTTCAGCGACTATTTAGCTCTTTTTAGGCTAATTTAGGCTTTTTCAGCTATTTCCACATTTTTGGCACCCATTTCAACATTGTTCAGCCTAATTCAGCAACAATGTGCTCACTTCACTGCCTTCTTGTAGATTCAGCTTCTTTCTGCCTTTTTAGTTACTTTTCAGCATTTATTTTATTTCAGCTTTTTTTCCCCAGATAATTTTGATTTTTATGCTCATTTCTGCTTTTTTCGGCCTCACTGGGCTTTGTTATGCTAATTTATGTTTGTTCTACCTTTTTAGCACATTTTTAAACAAATTTCAGCTATTTTCAGATAAATTCAAGTTTTTCGTGGTAATTTCTGCTACTTTCAGCTTAATCATCTTCTTTCTACTAATTTCAGCATGTTTTGCCCCTTTCAGTTGATTTCTTCTATTTTTGATTTTTCAGCTATTATTTAGCTGTTTTATGCTAATTTTAGCCTATTCAGCTATTTCCACAAATTTTAGCACTCATTTCAAGTGTTTTCAACCTAATTCAGCAATAACTGTGCTTTCTCCACTTCCTACTGTAATGTAAGCTTCTTTCTGCCTATTTAGCTACAAACTGGATTCCAAAAAAGTTGGGACACTAAACAAATTGTGAATAAAAACTGAATGCAATGATGTGGAGGTGCCAACATCTAATATTTTATTCAGAATAGAACACAAATCACAGATCAAAAGTTTAAACTGAGAGAATGTATCTTTTTAAGGGAAAAATCTGTTGTTTCCAAATTTCATGGCGTCAACAAATCCCAAAAAAGTTGGGACAAGTCCATTTTTACCACTGTGTGGCATCCCCCCTTCTTCTTACAACACTCAACAGACGTCTGGGGACAGAGGAGACCAGTTTCTCAAGTTTAGAAATAGGAATGCTCTCCCATTCATGTCTAATACAGGCCTCTAACTGTTCAATCGTCTTGGGCCTTCTTTGTCGCACCTTCCTCTTTATGATGTGCCAAATGTTCTCTATAGGTGAAAGATCTGGACTGCAGGCTGGCCATTTCAGTACCCGGATCCTTCTCCTACGTAGCCATGATGTTGTGATTGCTGCAGAATGTGGTCTGGCATTATCGTGTTGAAAAATGCAGGGTCTTCCTTGAAAGAGATGACGTCTAGATGGGAGCATATGTTGTTCTAGAACCTGAACATAGTTCTCTGCATTAATGGTGCCTTTCCAGACATGCAAGCTGCCCATGCCACAAGCGCTCATGCAACCCCATACCATCAGTGATGCAGGCTTCTGAACGGAGCGTTGATAACAACTTTGGCTACCCTTGTCCTCTCTGGTCCGGATGACATGGCGTCCCAGTGTTCCATAAAGAACTTCAAATCGTGACTCATCTGACCACAGAACAGTCTTCCATTTTGTCACACTCCATTTTAAATGACCCCTGGCCCAGTGCAAACGTCTGAGCTTGTGGAGCTTGCTTAGAAACGGCTTCCTCTTTGCACTGTAGAGTTTCAGCTGGCAACGGCGGATGGCACGGTGGATTGTGTTCACTGACAATGCTTTCTGGAAGTATTCCTGAGCCCATTCTGTTATTTCCTTGACAGTGGCATTCCTGTTTGAGGTGCAGTGACGTTTAAGGGCCCGGAGATCACGAGCATCCAGTAGAGTTTTACGGCCTTGACCCTTACGCACAGCGATTGTTCCAGATTCTCTGAATCTTTTGATGATGTTATGCACGGTTGATGATGATAACTTAAAAGTCTTTGCTATTTTACACTGGGTAACACCATTCTGGTATTGCTGCACTATCTTTCTGCGCAACAATGGTGGAATTGGTGATCCTCTTACCTTCTTGGCTTCTGAGAGACACTGACACTCTGAGAAGCTCTTTTTATACCCAATCATGTTGTCAATTGACCTAATTAGTGTTAGTTGGTCTTCTAGCTGTTCGTTTTATGCTCAATTTCCTTTTTCCAGCCACTTATTGCTACTTGTCCCAACTTTTTTGTGATTTGTTGACACTGAAATTTTGAATCAACATATTTTTCCTATAAAATGTTACATTTACTCAGATTAAACTTTTGATCTGTCATCTATGTTATATTACGAATAAAATATTGACATTTGCCATCTCCACATCATTGCATTCAGTTTTTATTCACAATTTGTTTAGTGTCCCAAGTTTTTTGGAATCCGGTTTGTACTTTTCAGCTTCTTTTTTTTGGTGGCAATTTCAGCTTTTTTCAGATACTTTCCACTTTTTTGTGCTCATTTCTGCTTCTTTCAGTTCATCTGTTCTTTTTACTAATTTAGGCTTTTTCTACCTTTTCAGCTACCTTATTAGCATTTTAGCTAATTTCAGATAAATTCAAGTTTTTCAATGGCAATTTCTGCTACTTTCAGCCTAATTAACTTCTTTCTGGTAATTCCAGCTTATTTCTGCTTGCTTCAACTTTTTCTGGTATTTCAGCTACTATTTAGCTGTTTTATACTAAATTTGGCTTTTTCAGATCATTCCAGATTTTTGGAGCATATTTTAGCTCATTCCATTTCCTTCTAGTAGTTTAAGCTTCTTTTTGCCTTTTCAGCTACTTTCAGCTATTTTTTGGTCATTTCACCTTTTTTTTAGCTATTTTCCTAATTTCTGTGCTCATTTCTGATTATTTAAACCTAATTCAGCAAATATGTGTTCTTTCTGCTTTCTTCTGCTAGGCTTCTGCATTCATTTCAGCTATATTTCATCATGTTTTTGCTAATTTCAGCAAGTTCTTCTGGAACAAGCATTCACACTTGATTTAGCAGGAAATGCAATTTCTGTACTTTCCTGGGTGTTTATTCAAAACCATCCTGCAGTTCATGAGATTTTTTGCTAACACACAAATAGGCAAAAGGATGATCAGTCTTTTGTTGGTGGGCAGTATCAATTTTAGCTCCATCGTTGTTCAGAGACTGAAAACATGTGGGCTGCAACTTGTTCTGTCGCTATAAACAATAAATCAATTAATCACACGATAAATGAAAATTATCAACCTCATTTTCATTTATCAGCTTTATCGTTTCGTCTCTTTGTACTGAAGACACTGGATGACAAAAAGTTCAACTCTGGTGCTCTTCACTGACCCCTCCTTTTCTCCTTTCTCTTTAAAATCCGTTTTAATCGTCCAAAATCACGTTTTTGGATCGTTAAAAGCAGTTAAGCTGAGAAACTAAGCTACGAGCTAAGCTAACAGGCCGACCTCGGGGAAGAAACCTCCGTCTTGTTGAAGCGCCAAAATTCACGGTTGAAACCCGTGCCTTTGTGTAAAAAGTTTTTCCTCTGCAAAAAGAAGCTGAGAACTTGTTTACTGATTTTTTTATTTAAAGCTTTGTGTGAAAAATGCTAAGCTAAGAGCTCAAATCACACCTAGCGTCTGCCATTTTGAGAACCAAACCGTGTCACGTCAGGGGCCTCCCTCCCATTTTTCTTAAAGAGACACGCTGCTCGCTCCCTCACTATCCATCCTTCAGTTCAAACCGTCTTATACTGCCATCGGTGGTCGAAAAAAGGTACTACATGCAAAACAAATTAAACATTTCTTCTTGAATGTAACAATAATTACTGATTATTGTCAAATTTCAATCAATATTATCGTTTATCGCAATAATTTCTGAGACAATCGCCCAGCAAAATTAGTTATCGTGGCAGGCCTAGCTGAAACTCTCATTCGCTGCCATCCAGGACGTGCTGGAGCTGCTGGAGAAGCGAGTGAAGTCGCGGTTCTCCCACCGCCAGATCCACCTGCTGAGCAGCCTGACGTTCCCTCAGTACCTGGACCGGGTTCAAGCCCAGCTCAGCCTGCCAGACGACGTCCCCGACAGCAACTTTGCTCAGGAGTGGAACGCCAGCGTGAAGGTGAATCGAACGACGGCGTTTCTTCTACAAAAAAAAAAGGGGTTTTATGTTTTAGTTTTTATTTTCAGACTCTCTGCGAGGACAAAGCCGTAGAGGAAGTTCTGCAGAGGCACTTTAACTCCAGTAAAGACTTCCGCTCTTTGCACGCGCTGCTGGTAAGACTCTTCCAATCTGTACGTTCTTAAGACACAAACATGGTGCCAACCAAATGTTTCGTAGATGCCATGTCTGAGCCGCGTCTCAGTTGCCAAACCTACCATCAAACCAGCCGACCTGCTGGACGCCAGTCGTCTGTGTTTCGCCGACACAAAGGCCAGCATGCTCCACGGTAAAACTCAACAGGATGAAAGTGTTCGTCTGTAAGCAGCTCGGTGCCCATGTCGAATCTGTGCTCGTCTTTTTAGGTCTGTCCATCTTGGAGCTGTGCCTGATCATCGCCATGAAACACCTGAATGACGTCTACAAAGGAGAGCCGTTCAATCTGCAGATGGTTCACAACGGTAAGATTTAAAATACGCAAAAACGAGAACATGAGGCACAGATGAACTTGCTGTACAGTTACGACGTTTTATTTACTCATCAGACACGTCTATTAGACACGTCTACACATTTATTTTTTATTGTACAATTATTCTGGAACTTCTGGCACTTCCTGTATTTTTTCCACTCCTCGTGTTCAGAGTTTAAGAAGTTCCTGCAGAGGAAATCCAACTCCATGTACAACTTCGACCAGCCTGTTATCATGAAGGTGAGCAACAGAAACGGAAAAACAAAACATCACACCCAACAGTTCAGACGCCCATTGTACAAAAGTAGGATCAAGGATTTATCGCGTTATCCTGGATGAATTAACATTCGATTCTGTTGCCCAAAAAAGGAGGTGCATGTTTCCATGGAAAATAATCCTCCGAAACTATCCTGGTCCCAACCAGGCTAAAAGTGAAGCTTAATTAAATATTTATTAGTGACAGGAGTTTTTGTGTTAATGTTGGTAGTAGTTTAGTGCCTCTTTCCTGTGGGGTCCCACAGGGCTCGATTATTGGACCCCTTCTGTTTTCGTTGCATCTGCTCCCCTTGGGGTCTATCCTGAGGGAACGTGGTCTTTCGTTTCATTGCTATGCTGATGATAGTCAGATTTAACCGCCCTTAAAACCAAATAGTTTGTGCACAATTCGCCCCCTGTTAAAATGTCTTGACATTAAAGCATGGATGGTATAATTTTTTTTAAATTTTCAACTATCAGAAAACTGAAATCATTGTTTAGCCCTAGCTCTACTGCGGTCTCTGTTCCCGTTAACCTTGACCCTCTCGAGTCATATCTTAAGCAGTCTGTTACAAATCTTGGGATGGTTTTAGACTCAGACTTTGAGTTTAATAAACAGATGAACTCTGTTCTACAAAAAAAAAATTTAAATTCTCCTATTGACCTTTAAGTACATTAATGGCCTTGCACCCTCATATTTCTCTGACCTACTTCATCCTTATGTTCCTTTTCAGGTGCTGAGATCATCTGACCAGCTGCTTTTGGTTGTACCAAAAACCAGGCTGAAGCTCAGAGATCGGGCTTTTTCAGTCGTTGGCCCTAAACTCTGGAACAATCTGCCCCTCAATATTACACAGGCCACTTCACTCCACTGTTAAATCTCTCGTAAAACGTCTGTTTTCTCTGACCTTTAACAGAGTGATTTAATTTAGCATTTCAGTTTTTGTTTTACTTTTGAAGCTCTTATTTAACTACATCTTTCCCCATTTAGTGATCATGCTTCTTCATATAAATCCACTATTATCCGTTATTCTGCTGGAGACAAGTGGGATGCACGCATCCTGCTGTCCATGTTTAATCAGGAAATCTGTGATCCACTGAGTGGGTCTAATAAGAAAATTGTGAACCCACATTCTTTAGAAATGGACGCGTGGCTTGACATGTGTGCCACCAATGAAGCTTGCTTGCGAGCTCAAGGATTGCTCAAGTGCGGCTTCCTGCTGGTATCCTGGATTTATTAATCCTACTTTTGTGCAACGGGTCTCAGGTGATCATTCCCGTCTCATTTTTTTTGCCCGCAGGCCTTCGAGCACCTGCAGCAGCTGGAACTTATTCGACCGGTCGACGGCTCCTCAGCCAAAACTCAGAGGGAGTACCAACTGATGAGGCTCATGCTGGATCAGAGTCAGATCATGGAAGCGCTGCAGAAGTATCCACAATGCCCCACAGATGTAAAACAGTGGGCCATATCAGCGTTTGCCTAGCTGATGGACAGTAAACAAGAATCAGACGTAATAAAATCTGATTTTTGTCCTTACTCAGTTTTGTCTAATTTTTAATAATATATAATAAAAGTTTTAAAATGGTTTTTTTTTTTGCTTCTGAATAAAGTACCAGTATTAGAAAGTATAAAAATATAAAGTTGTCAAGTTTTTCATTGTGTGGATAAAACATATCTCATAAATTTGATGGATTTTAGGAATACTAGATTTTAGTTTTATGGGCTGTTAATCTAAAATTACTTGCTGCACCACCCTTTAAAAGCCAAATTAACAAAACATTAGATTAGCATTAGTAGTAATAAAATTCACAGTAGCTGAAAGCGAATTTGAATTACTAGATTTGGTAGCAATATAATAAGCTTCAACAGCAGTAAAATTAACATTTGCCATTTTAACATTAGCATTAGTAGAATTAGAACTATCCACCCATTATCTTTACCTGCTTCTTCCTTTCTGGGTCATGGAGGTTTTATTTTCATTCAACCTTTATTTATACAGGCTAATCTGAGCCATGAGGACTCATTTACAAGAGGGACTCACTTATCTTTAGCCTTAAAAAAACAAACAAACAAAAAAACAGTATAATTTATGGCAGATCTCAAATCAGTGCTTCAAGAGCCTAGCAAAAAGGTGAGTTCTAAAATGCTTAGTGTTTATGCATTGTCTTCTTAAGATCTCAATGTTTCCTCTAAAATCTCAAGTGTGAAGAAAAGGAGAAAACAAATCCTGGAATAAAATGCCTATTGAGGATGAATGCGTTCTCAAATGGAAGTGTTGCAAAAGCAACTGTTTGGGTAACCAAACAGGCTCCCTGAGGAATTCCTCAGGCTGTTATTAAATTTTAAGAGCTGTAAAAATCAGTCTTTTTGAACAAGATTTTTGCTTATAAAAAGCTAAAATTTACAACAAAAATGTGGGCTTATTGGTGCCTATGTTGATCAGTCACTGCAAGAATTAGAACAGTAGAAAAATTATCAATTAGTTTGAGTTACCGATATGTATAATTTTAAGCTGTGTAAAACAGATAAATCTTCAAATTCAAACATTTACCCGATTCTTTTTTTTTTGTTTGTTTGTTTGTACATTACATAATCATTCCACTCTGGAAAAAGAGTAATTCAAATGTGTGAATATAAACCTGAAATCAATATGGAATTCATCCTCATGAGTGAATGTAAACTTATGTTGCATATTAAGTGTTTTTTTGAAGCCATATGTTTGATCAACAGTAGAAATCTGTTCCAACCTGGCTGTGAATTGATAAGATACCTATGAGTCCAATTATGGGGATTTCCCCACAATAAAAAAATCATCTAGTCAGAAAAATAAAAACAGCATCATGTTTTTAGTGAGGTACCTAAAAAGAAAAAAAAAGACCACATGAACACGCACAATCTAAAAACACATTTATTTACATCACGTGAATCACTTCAGCTGATAAAAACTATGACATGAGCCAAGAGCCACAGTGCTGATCTGGGACCAGTCGTCAGTTTCCAGGGTTTTTGCTTGGCTGTAATACTTTTCAAAAGGAGTTTATTTTTTTTCCTCTGCAGCTGGTGAACACATTCCAGTGGGATGCTTTTCATATACTTTCCAGTTTCACTTTTGTGTCTATTTTCACATTATTTGTCAGAAATGTTAAATTTATAGTCATTTTAGGCTTTGTAGGCTTTTTAAGACAAACAGATAAGGTTTCAGTGACCAAAAAGGACTTATGTAATCACTTTTGTTTAGCCTTAAAAAGAAACCCTGTGAGCATAATTTATGGCAGATCTCAGATCAGCGCTGTCGCTTAAGAGCCTAGCAAAATGTGGGGTCAAAAATGCTTAGTGTTTATGCATTGTCTTCTAAACACTGTAGTCCAATGTTTCCTCTAAAATCTTAACAAGCGTGAAGAAAAGGAGGAAATTGAGTTCCTGGACTAAAATACCTATTGAGGATGAATGTGTTATCAAAAGGGAGTGTTGCAAAAGCAACTGGGTAACCAAACAGGCTCCCTGAGGAATTCCTCAGGCTGTTCTTAAATTTTAAGTGCTTTAAAAATTGGTCTTTTTGAACAAGATTTTAGCTTATAAAAGCTAAATTTTACAGAATTTTTTTCACATAGTAAAGGGCCATTTTTACACACAAGATGAATGTAGAGGAAACACTGAAGTTTAACACGCACCTATAAAGATTCAGCTCAGAGTATATAGAGTCGATACAGGTATTTATGTCTGTACAGATCCTAGACTGCTTAAAATAGTGGGGGCAACAAGACAAATGTTTCACTGGTCGTTTATATGCACAGCAATGTGAGGTGCTGGGCTGGAGGAAGTCTCAGTGGGAAAATTGTAAAAGGCTACACAGGGAGAACGTCCATTCTTACACCTTAAAATAAATGATGCAATGCTAGCACTAAAGAGTATGTTAGGGATGTCTCTCAGCCATTACCACACCCAATCTTAACATCTGTAAAACTAGCTGAATTGTATGCTTAAGTTAATTAGCTGTGGTGGCCATCTTGAATTGCGTAGACTCCAAAAGTTGATTAATAGTACACGTATGTCATCCAATAACTTTTTCCTGAGAGTTTAATTAGAATTCCACCACTTGTTTGTGCTATTACACCAACAAGCATACAGTTGGGTCCAACATATTGCAAAGTTTTGGGGGGATGTTTCGAAGAAGGTACAAAGATCTTTAAAATGTACCAGGAAATGTTGGATCCAACATTAAGCTCACTATACCAAAGGCGGGCTTACAAAAATATCTGACTCGGTGTCCCTTCTGCGTGGACGATGTTGACAGGCCACAGCGAATTAACTCAGATGTCCTGGTATAATTTTTTTCTTTATTGCTCTTAATGCCTTTGTTCAGGCACTTAGTCGCTCCTGCTCAAATGACTTTGATAACATTCACAACACTGCTGGCCAACTGCTAAACTGGAAATATGCAGCTCCACATATATACAAGCTAGATCCAAAAAAGTCATTTATTTTCTTTAACCGGAATCAAATAAAAACAGGCCGACTTTGGATTATGAAATCCCTTTTTGTCCGACGTTAAGGACACAGAATATTCTGAACTAAGAATGTTTTTTTAATTCTTTTTTTGTTTTTCTATCTATCATTAGCTTCATGGTGGTAGGTAGCGTGGCGTATGACATATTTAGTTTACGTAAAGTGAAGCACTGCTCATGTTCTTTTGTTCATCAAAAGGTGCATGAATGGACAACCACATGTGTTGCTTTTACCATTTTCTACAGGACAGGGCACAATCACACAACACCAGCCGAAGCCCTCTAAATTTACACAGGGCCGGGCTCGATCCATTGTAATACGCACACTGTATATATGGAATCCAGGAGTCTGTAGAACATTCATTCTCGGTCATTTTTGTCCGAAGACTGAATAGAAAGAAGCATGTTAGAGTTTATATCTTTTGTTTTTGAACCGATGAAACTAGTTCCTGATTTCCACCCCACTCCTGACCCCTCCCCACCAACCCCACAACAAGAACAACCATAAATCGATCCAACTCTTAAATTTTTTTCTTCCTTAATTCCGAGTTGCACCTGAGCTCTAATCCCCGAAATCTCAGGCCAAAAAAAAAAAAAAAAAAAATCAAAAAAATAAATACAACATATCAATATGCAAGGTCACAGATTAAAACAAACAAAAGAAAAATTATAATGCTACAAGTGTTTGTGTGTGTGTGTGTGTATTGAAAGCCACTCCTGCAGCAGGTCCTACAGAAGTGTAGGGTATAGTTTGCGGCACTGGTTGCATATAACTTGCTAGAACTTAGAAAAGCATAGTACGGATTCCCTGAATGGTGTTTATCGATTCGGGTTGGTTTCTTGGGCGCAGTTTAAACACCTAATCGCTCCCAGATTTACTTTTTACAGCGGCTGATATTTGGCCAAGATGTTTATTCGAGGAAACGAACTTTAAACATAAAAAAGGGACGAAGGGGGTAATACTGTTTTTTATTGTAGTGTTCGAGAACGTATCGCTGTAAAAACAAGGAAACCTCTTCACTCGCAACCGAACACATGAAAACTTTCCGTTAACTTTTCAAGGAACTCCTGCAGAGAACGGCACCCGATTTTTGGTTTATTTTGCCACACCTTCTACCCCAAAGAAATCCCTGCCAGTGAGGTAGTACTTATTGATGGGCTGCAGCACTGGTCGTTCCTGATGGTTCAAAGAATGCTGCGATTTCGACAGCGGTAGCAGCAAAAGTAAGCAACAAATGCTGTTCTTGTGCTACAGTGTGTAAATAAGATGATGGCTTCAACTTCCTTCAGGTTTGCTGTGTTGTTGCTAAAAGCACTGCAGAAAATAAGATCTCAAAACATGCTCTGGTAAGTGTCCGTTCTACTTTCTGAGCGTTTGGATATAAAAAAAACAAAACAGGATTTGCACAAAACCAAATGAGTTATTGTTGTGAATTACAGTGGGGGAAGTAATTATTCAATCCCTTGCTGATGTTGTAAGTTTACCCACATATAAAGAAAGGAACATTAATAATTTCATTTTAATGGCGAGACACATCAACTAGAAATTCAGGAAAAAAAAAAAACATTACACAAAAGTTATTCGTTATGTGTATAAAGCACGCCTATCCACAAAAAATATTTTTTTTCCCCAACCTCTCCACCAACATGGACAGGATCAAGAGGACACCAGAGAAAGATAGTAGATCTGCAGAAAGCTGGAAAAGGCTTCAAGACCATCAGCAAGGTCGCAAACTTCTCAAAATTTTTTAAGTTGTAAACTTTACTAGGAAATTAAAAATAATTTGTGAGTTTAAAATACTTTAGGTTGGGCCTTAACAGGGATTTTTAATATACCGTATTTTCCGCCGTACACGTAGCTCTGCCCTATAAGTCGCATCAGTCCAAATATGTCTAAGTGGAAAAATCCATAAATACGTTGCTTCGCCGTATACGTCGCATCTATTATGTGTCACCGCTGACAACCTTGAAATGTGGGCCGGTACTGTGCCAAAAATCGACTGGCTGCCAAATGGCGGCCAATGGAGCATGCACGGGATGACTTCAACAAGAATTTAACAAGATTAACACTTAAAAACAATTGTTTGTTTGCTCAAAATTATAGCAAAGGTGTGTCTCAGTTGAACTTTTACGTAATAAATGCACTTTAATGGTCAAATTAGCTACATTTCACCGGGGCGGTGCAGCAAAATGAAGCTGGTTTGACGGTTGCTCCAAGCGAGCTGAACAAAGGTGGCAGGCAATTGCAAGCCGGTTTTGTCATTAATAGCTGGTGAAGATTCTCAATCATCCAGGACATGGTAAGTTCAAAAAAGTTCAAGACAAAAACAATAAAGTACAATACATAAAAGTCCTGTTGCTATATAGTCTTGAACTTTTTTGAATTTGTCATTAGCTTTAACCTATTACATGATACAATGGCATGCCTTACTGTTACTACTACTCCGCTGCCATCTAGTGGTTGAAAATGGTAGTGTTCAGTATTTTCAGTCAGAATGAATGGAAACGGTCATATCTCAGCCAAAAATTGGTTTATAAATACGGGGAAAAATCCATAAATACGTCGCTTCGGCATATAAATCAAAGGACGTGCAAATTATGCTTAAAAAACTGCGACTTATAGAGCAAAAAATACGGTAGTTTGGGAAATATATTTTAGCATAATCCAACTAAGTCAAGTCAGGTCATCTGGGCAGTTTTTATTTTTGTTGAGACGCTTCGTCCTTCATCCAAAGGACTTAATCAATCCGAGGAGCCGCAACAAACTCAGTCCTACAAGCAGCGCACTCACACAGTGATTCACTAGTGACTCACTGTGTGAGTGCGCTGCTTGTACGATTGAGTATGTTGCGGCTCCTCGGACTGATTAAGTCATTTGGATGTTGGATGAAACGTCTCAACAAAAATAGAAACCGTCCAGATGACCTGACCTGACTTTGGTTTTTTTTAACTGGATTATTGAGCATGAACTTTGATTTTAGCATAATCTTGACTGAAACTCAGATTTCATTGCTGCACTATGCAATTAAAAATGATAAACTGTCACCTGGACACAAACGGAAAGATAGTTTCCAACTAATTTTCTTCACAGTTGTGTTTATAACTAAATTTTAAAAATTAACAACAAAAAAAAAAAAAAGGGAACTACAGGTGTTCCAAATCCACTGTTCTCCAAGTTTTGTATCGACACAGTGATGTCATTAAATACAAATGAGTAATTTTCAAAAATTTGGGGTCAAACTCATCATCTGTTAACAAAACAAAACGTTTTCATTTTTGTTGGGACATTACAGTTTGTCAAATTATCCTGGAGTTCCATTCAATTCCCATAAAGTCGTGGAAATATCCCAAATTCTCTAGCTTAACCTCCCATGGGAAGTTTCTGTGTCTTTGCAGTCCTGTGGTCAGATGAGAATAAAATAACACACCAGATTTGAAGAATGAGTCATAAACGAGTATGACCCAAAGAACACCATTCCCAAAGTTAAGCACAGAGGTGGAAGTATTATAGTTTGATGCTGGTTTTCTGCTAAGGGTACAGAATGACTTCACTGCACAGAGATTCATGTACTATATAAATTTGCATCAGAGCTTTCTTCCCTTAGGCAGAGCAGTTGCTATCCATAACTGCTGTTATTATGGCAATGACAATAAAGAGCACTGAAGATGGGCGACCCAAAAGCATATCGCCAAGACAACAAGGGAGTGGTTAAAGAAGCAAATAAAGGTTATGGAGTGGCCTTTCCAGTCTGAATACCTTAATCCACCCCCCCAAGGCCATGTCTACAAGCATCTGCCCATCCACCCATCCATCCATTATCTTTACCCACTTCTTCATTTTAAGGTCACAGGGGTCACTGGTGCCCATATCCAGCAGTCACTGTGTGAGAGGCAGGGTACACTCTGGCCAGGATGCAAATCCATCACAGGGACACACAGAGACAAACGAGATGCAAAAAAATTAAATTCCTAGTAAACATGGCACTGTTTCAAGAAATGTCTTCATTCAAACGGAAATGCAGATAAAGCCAAAATGCTGTAGTAACAATGCCAGGCCTGTATGTGGCACTGTAACGCTGCCACAAAAATGCACCAAAAAACAGGAAACAAGGTGCCGAGCATGCACTAAAAGCTTAAATGCTGGGTGTGAAAAGTAAATGTACCAAGAGAAAAAGGATGCCACCAGGTTGCAGGATTAGATTAGAAGTGGGTCTACCCTCATAGTTTTTTAAAGGATGCGTTTTGGCCGTCTATTCAGGTCTCTCTTGTAAATGAGTCCTCGAGGCTCAATGGGATTTACCTGTCTAAATAAAGGTTGAATGAAAAAAAAAATGCAAAAACAAGGGTCACATTACAAGATTTTTTTTAACTCTAACACATTTTCTAAATAATAACTGTTTTGGCGCTCTTAAGACGCTGGTTCTGTGTGGAAGCAAATCTAAAACAATTAAAAAGTTATTAAAAAAGCATTCTGTGTGAACAGCCCTTAGGAAATCAATTTGGGGTACTGTAATGCGCCAATTATAAAATCCTTTTAAAAGTTGCAATTATAGTTTTGTTTTTTACATTGAAAGTAATCATGTTTTGTTATAATATTAATTATGCAATAATAAACCAACTGAAAACTTCCAGGTAACGACAACCTAATCACTTCCTGTACTTGTACATGTGCGTTACTCTCGGTTTATTTGATAAAATCGGAGTCGTTTGGTCCATGTGCTTAATGGGAGACTTGCAGTTATTTTGAATCCCCTGCCATCCTCGAATAATTAGGTGACGACAACGCTTCAAACAACTAATTCCCCCACTGTATTTCTCATCTTGCGTTACAGTACGGAGTTTTCCGAGAATGCCAAGCGAGGAAAGCGTGTCCACGCATTAAATGTGATTTTTGCCGAAAGAAGTTTCCTTGTTTTTCCACATTAAGTTTTAAACTGCGCCCCTTGAACTCCCCCTTTAATTACCCCAAAATAAAAACTTGAGGAGAGAATGCAAATCTGCCGGCACCGGTGTTCAACATCCCTCAGAGGAAATAAAGACTCAAAAAATGTCACAGCAGTGACAGATACATCCGTTTGGCCTGACATCTACAAGAGTAACACATGGACAGGTAAAAATGGCACCAGGATGAAGGGGTTCAGCTTGTCCAACTTGGTTAGTGTTTGCGTGAGGAACAATATATCTTTTATGTTTTTGTGTGGCTGAAGAAAAAAAAAAAAGTCTGATTATCCTTTCGGTGTTCAGGGGGTTAAAACGGTCCCCAGAAGTCCATGATGTGACAGTTCATTCAAAAACAACGTGGACTAAACTCAAAAAAAGATTATCTAAAGCTGGGAGAAAAGTATGTAGTTTTAGTGTCTGAGCCTGACCAGGCTCCAATGCGAGACAAAGAAAGGAAGTGCTCCAGTTCCAGACAGGTGAGGATGAGGAGGTGGGTAGCAAAGATTCCTGAGGTGTATCAAAAAGAGCAGAAACTCATGATGGTACTAAAAAAAATTAAAATAAAATAAAGATGTGTGTGCAATCAAATCAAAACTGGCTCAGCTAAATACACAAAGGGCTTCAAATCCGATGCCTCAGATGAAACAATACTGAGCGACTTGTCCATCTGCTTTTCTCTAGCTATCAGATTTTTTATTTTGTTTACAAAATAAAAGCACGGATCGAGAGTTTGACATCTCAGCTGTGAAACCAAATATTAAAATCAGTCAGTGTTTCCAGTTTTGATCATTAAACTTGTCAGCAGCTGAAAGCGCAAATGGAAAAGAAGAAAAAAAACAATAAATGACAATTCATCCACCTACCAATAAAACTCAAAGAGGAGGAAAGCTACGAGCGAAGGGGAGGAAATCCTTTAGTGAGCGTCGTGTCCGACAGCAGGTCGTCTGGTGAAGAGGGACTAATTTGAACTGAGGTATACCTGGTTGAAGGAGGTTTATGGTTTCTATTGTCATAATGCTTGAAAATGGAGCCCCCTCCCCTGTCCCCCTCCCAAATTTAAAAGAAGCTGATTACCAAGTTCATGATACACTATGTACAGCAGCATTACACTATAAACATTCAGAAGCTGTTGCTTATTGGCAGAACGATAGTCGATTCTTCAAAGGAACGCTCACAAGAAAACAGCTAATGTATCGGGAGCTCAAGTTCTCGTCTTTTGTTTTTTCCCCCACTCTCTCCGTTTCGTTGTTAACACTAAAACGAACGATGAAATCGCTCCGCTAGATCCTCCGAATGAAATCCAACGAGTATTTATATAAAAAAAAAAAAACGATACATGACCGAACAGTTTGTCGAGTGTGTCCAGAATCGTCCTCTTCGGAGAGGAGAAGAAAAAAGGAAGAAGTTAAAATCCTCAGGCACGCGTATCAAAAATGAGGCGGATCCCGACGGATGTGGGTGAGATGGGTGCCGGCTGTTTCCTGAAGTAGCGGCCCGCACTTAAAAAGGAACCAAGAAGAAGAGATGAGCGTAAAAAGGAAAACGTAAAAAAAAAAAAAAAACGCCAACCAGCCAGGGCCGGCCGTCTAATCCTCTCGTGTTGGTTTCCAGTAGCTCGTCCCGGTCGTCGGTTGGTTGGTTGGCTGATCATAAGCTGGACTCTTTGGGCGGGAGGTCCACATTTGTCACCATGGTGACCACAGTGACGATCTCCTCGGGGCCGATGATGGGGGCCTGGCGCTGCATTTGGCCGATGCGCTCCTCGACGCAGCCGGCAGACAGGCGGGCCTCGGCCTCGTGGTCCCAGCAGTCCTCAATGGTTTCGCAGAGCATGGCCAGACCCTAAAACGGCAACAACCAGAGCTCTAATCAGTCCCGTTTGTTCTTCAAAAACAAATCCCAACTACCAGAACATCAAAGAGCATGCAGGCTATGACATCGGCCCAGCCAAGCTGCTGTGATGCGTTACACTCACCGCAGTACTCCTCCTAAACACTAGATGTCCCTACAGACAAAATTATATCACCAAAAAGACACAAACATAACCACTTTCAACTCGTGTGAATGAAGACTCAGCATTCCCACTGTTGTTTTCCTGTTTTTAATTTTTTTCTTTACGTTTTATGGAATCTAATTACTTCTGAATACTTAGTGCCACAATTTTAGCCGTTCATATCTAAAAAATGTTTTGCTCATCAGGTGACGGGTGCAATGACTGTTTGTGTTAGTAACTTTTGAACTTTTCAAAATAATAGTGTGAACATTTATGAAGCATTCACACTATTGTGATACATTTTTCTTCGGTTATGATTGTCAGAATCTTGCTTGTTCCACAGGTTTTAAGCTATTTCAACAAATCATAAATCAAAACGTTCAGGACAATCCTGATATGACTTTTGGTGCAACTTTAGCTTTTTGAAATATTTATCTTTTTTCTGACACTTTTTTTTTCTCTGAAAATGAATTGAGCTGATTTTACATCCTTCAAATCTTTAGATCTGCATAAAATACTGAAGTTTGCATAAATAAGTTGAATCCATCACAAAACAGCTAAAACCCCTGCTGAAAGTAACTGAAAAAAAGTTCAAATTTGCACAAGGAAGCTGAAAGAAGGTGAACCAGAACAAAATGTGAAAGGAGCAGTAAAAGGTTGTAAGCTATTTCAGCTACTCTTTAGCTGTTTTATGCTAATTTTAGCCTTTTCAGCTAATTCCACATTTTTTGTTCTCATTTGGGGGGAGTGGTAGCACAGAGGTTAGAAGATGGGCCTGTGATCGGAAAGTTGCAGGTTCAACTCCCGGTACCGTCAACATCAAAATGTGTGGTGGAACACCCACACCTGCCTCCACCCTCATTCGCCCACTCTGGGCCCCTGAGCAAAACCCTTAACCCCCACCATCTGCTCCCTAAACAGGTCTCTCTTGAAAATGAGTTCTCGTGGCTCAATTAATGACCTGTATAAATAAAGAGTAAAAAAAAAATCAACTTTTTTCAACTTAATTCAGCACAAATGTGCTCTCTCTACTTCATTCTTGTAATTTAAGCTTCTTTATGCATTTTACATTATTTTCAGCTGTTTTTATTAGTTTTTGCTAATTTCAACTTTTTTCAAATTATTTCCACTTTTTTGTGCTCATTTTTTGCTTCTTTCAGCCTAATTGGGAAAATGTGGTTTTCTGCTTTCTTCTGCTAATTTAAGCTTATTCTACCTTTTCAGATACCTTTTAGCTTGTCTTAGCTAATTTCAGCTGTTTTCAGATAAATTCAAGTTTTTCAATGGTAATTTCTGCTACTTTCAGCCTAACTAACTTTATGCTAATTTCAACTTCTTATGCTTAAAAAAGAAAACCGTTCAATACAAAAACAACTGGACTTTGTAACAGAAGACGTTTGGCTCCTCATCCGAGGAGCTTTCTCAACTCAAAGAGCAGAGAGTGAGGGGTTCAGGTTGAGTGAGATAAGACACATACATATGTAGATTTGACAATTCTCACCTCAACACCTTAACAGTAGGAGTTTCTTAAGGTCTTTGTTCCTCTAATTCACAGATGAGGCCCCTCTGTTCTCATCAGGTGTGAAAACTGGCTGGGAATTAGTCTGAAAGTTGCATTATATGTTTTTGAATGTGGAAATCTGAGGCTTCCTCCTCTGTTGAGACTTTTTTTTTCTCTTTTAACGTAAATTGCTTCCTTCTTATGCTTCTTTTGGCTTTTTCTGCTAGTTTCAGCTTTTCTGCAAATTCAGCTACCTTTTAGCTGTTTTTCTGCTAATTTTAGTTTTTTCATCTAATTCCACTTTTTTTTAGCTCATTTCAGCTCTTTTTGCTTCCTTTTGATAGTTTAAGCCTCTGTCTGATTTTTCAGCTTCTTTTCAACTACTTTTTTTGTTGTTGCTAATTTCAACTTTTTTTTTTAAAACAAATTTCCTAATTTTTGTGCTCATTTCGGCTTATTTAAACGTAATTCAGCAAATATGTGTTCTTTCTGCTTTCTTCCACTAATTTAGGCTTTTTCTTCCATTTCAGCTACATTTGAGCATATTTTTTTTAGCTAATTGTAGCTGTTTTTCAGCAAGTTCTTCTGCAATAAGCATTCATATTGCATTTTTGCAGGAAATGCAATTCATCTAGTTAACTTTATCTACAAATATTTCTTAAAAAAACAAAACAAAGCTAAAACCACTTGAATTTGTTAGTTATTTTTTAAATAAGCTTAACCCTACAAAATCTTCTTATACAACTTTTATGTTTTACTTTTAGCTTCTAGCTGGCTTAATGCTACTTTTGGAGTCTAGTTTACATATTGTTATTTTTACATTTTAGTTAGCCTTTTGCTACTTTAATTTTAACCCAAGCTTTGCTATTTTTCTCTAGTCTTTTCTTACTTGTAGCTAACTTTTTGCTACTTTACTTTGGCTGCTTTTGTCTAATCTTTTGGTACTTTGTTGCTACTCATTTTGCCTTTGCTTACTTTAAGCAAGACTTTTGCTACTTTTGGCTTTTAGCTTTTCAGCTAATCCCATCTTGTAATGGCTTCACATTTTTTGACAATATTTAAAATCGTTTCATGGCTTGTTTTGGCTTCATTTTTGTTGCTAAAATCAAGCGATAAAAGCGACTTTCACAGCTCACCGTGTGTTTCTGCCAGCAGTCTCGGAGGCAGGGCCGCAGCTTCTTATGGACGACCACTTCCTGCATGTCCTCCAGAGACGGGTGCTGACCCACCTCCTCCTCGAAGGGGAGCATGTACTCGTCTACAGGGCCTGTTGGTGCAAACACAAACAAAACGCTGCATCAAACAGGAAAGCAGGAGGCGGAGCAGAGAGTTTTCTCTCGTGGCGGCGCTCTCACCGTCAGCGGCGGTGCACCGTGACGCAAGCTCCCACAGGACAAGGCCAAAGGCGTACATGTCGATGCGCAGGAAGGAGTCGCGCTGGAAGTTGATGGCGCCCTCCAGGACTTCTGGAGCCATGTAGCGTCGTGTTCCCACCTGCAGGATCCAAACAGTTTAGTGGGTTAAAACATGAGCAAAGGAGTGAAGCATCAGCTTCCAGGATGTCTCAAACATTGAGCTCTTTAAGCTGATTTTGGTTCATTAATCAAATAACAAACATTGAACTGATCAAATAAAGAAATAATCTTCACTGAAATGTGAAGATGAAACTGTGTGATCAAAAGTAAAAGAAGAACACCAACAGCTAAAAGCTAATTGGAGCAAAATGCTAGCTCGACATAGAAAAACACAAGAAAAACTAAGTTAAGCAAAAGGCTACCTAAAAGCAGCAAAATGCTAACTAAGAACTAAACCCAGCAAAAGGTTAGCAACAGAACAAAACATTAGCTGAAAGCAAAATAGTAGCTAGATGCTAAATGTAGCTAAATGCATGC